ATTATAATGATCTCAAATACAATCAAAATACGTAAAATTACGCGCCATGCAATCTTACTTTTAACAAATTATTTTAAATTTCTTATTAGATTTTTCGAATTTCATATTATAATTGCCTCTAAGTTGGAAACATTGATGAACGAACATAAATTGCTTGGTTATGAATTTTATGAATAGTTAGCCAGTAACATAATTAAGATTTTGAATTGATTAAACTTGGCGAATTAAGTAAATTAAATTTTTAAAATTACGTTTAACTAATTCTGGCATTTTGTCATTGAAATAACATAAGTTTTAAGGACTGTACATGAGATGAATGTCAACTGCTTTTGTGCCATCAAATATAAGATAATTTTAGCAATAATTACCGATATATGATCAAAAAATAATAGTATAACATTATATACAATTAAATCTAATGTTATTTCAATGACAAAATGAGGATGTTAGTGATATTTTAACGTAAATTTAGTAGGCTAATTTACTTGATTCGCCAAGTATAGTCAGTTTAAAATGTTAATTATGTTAGCTTACTATTCTCGATAGTCATAACCACATAGGATATGTTCGTCCATCAATGTTTCCAACTAAATCTTTTTTGTAGTTTATAGATTACATAAATTATCTATTTAAGATTATTAATAATTTTCAATATTTGTCTATTAAAACTTTATGTAATAAAATATATTATATAAAATTAATATAAGGTTTTTATATTTTTAAAACGTTAAAAATAAAGTTATTCTATCAAATAATAATTTTGGTTTGTGTAATTGAACTTGGTTATTATAATTTATTAACTGTGACTACATTATACAAACGCATTGTTAATAGATTATAAAAATTACAAAATAATTAGTATTATAATAAATAATTGTTTGAATACTTTTTTAAACTAGATAACAATTATATATAATTTCGAGTTAAAGGGTTGAGATAAATATGAACGTGGTGACTAATGATTTGTATTTTTATCAAGGTAAATAGTAGAAAAAGTATTATACAATGCAACACCCGTATAACGTTACGAGCATGCATTGGGGTTTGGGCACAAATTGTTCTATTTTACCATACGATTAACATGGGAGAAATTAGCCAAATCTATGTTAGTTAAAAGTACATTGTCTGGCTTGTTGAACAAATTGTGCAAATTGGTCGTATTTTATCGACCACATGTTACTCAATCTCCTCTTGTCGCTCAACGCTAAGGGATTTTTTGTTCCGCAACCGACATTATTAGGCATGCCCGTCATGCACAATCATTATACACCATATTCCCATAGGATTACAATGGGCCGGAAAACACAGCGTCATTACGTCATCCGAAATAGTTTTGCCCACTTTTTCTGAGATTTTCCATAGAAAGTGACAAAGCCCTTATTGCTTTTTACGACCAAAAACTTCATGTTAAGTCTATGGGATTTGCAATTTGACCGTCAACAGCGTCATTAATGATGGAGCGGAGGGAGGGGGAGGGGGTACAAAGTGATTCTAGTATACGCTTTTTTCCCTTACGGAATATTTAATTACATTATTTCTTGATTCATAACTATAACTTTGAAGAAAATGCGTTAAATTAGCAAGCATATTCATCAAATATGTGCAGATAAAAATAAAAACTTGTGATAATATAAATAGAAATAAATAAATAGTTTTAGTAACTACAATAAAGTGACGGACAAAAGTATTGCATCACGCGTGTTTTTAAGGCCAAATTAATCGGGAGACCAAAAAGATTACTATAATTAGTCATAACATAAGGAATCGCCACAAAAAAATGTCCAGATCAGTTTTGGTCACTATATATTTACCCGTTCGGCTGCTGTGACCAAAAGTATAAAAATGTTTTTTGAAAAGTATAAAAATCATTTACACCGGTTCAATTGGCCATCGGGGAAGCCTTGGACCGGGTATTTGTTACCGATGTTCGGGAGCCCGAAACAGTGACCACTAAGACAATTCTGGTGTATAAGCCGCCCGAAACGGAGTTAAATAACATAGTTTAATATCCTAATTGATAAAATTAACAAATTCTTAACCGGAGCAGTCAATTAAAGGCGCCCGATTATTCCCGAACTTACTAAATGGTGGCCAGACTTTGATTGCCAAATTGTGTCAGATGATATGTCAGAAAATATCCGCAAATGTTTTTGAACCGGTGTAAATGATTTTTATACTTTAATCAAGTGTTAATTTACATTAATACGAAAGGGTTCTGTTAACTTAATTAGGGACCGGTCTATTTGTGCGAATTGGCAACGCTACGTTATGAAAACAGAGAGAAAAGTTTTTTGCAAAAATATGAAAACCAGTGTGCAGCCGAACGAGTAAATATATAGTGACCAAAACTGATCTAGACATTTTCTTGTGGTGATACCTTATGTTTTGACTAATTATAGTAATCTTTTTGGTCTCCCGATTAATATGGCCTCAAAAACAAGCGTGTTGCAATACTTTTGTCCGTAACTTTATAAGTTTACCTATTTTATTTATAAAAAATATTTTATTTTTATATCTTAAATAATATTATTAACTTGTATTATGAATAAACATTTCAATGTATTTGTATGAATGAGTAAGGTGAGTAAGCAGTGAATTTAAAGCTTTTCACTAAATGACTATATTTTCTATGCTTTCCGGAAGTCATTAAATTGTTTTCCAAATCCACATATGGATATGCCAGTGCTGAATAAACTCTAGAAAATACATTTCAAGCTGTAATTGTAACACTAACAGGCATTAACATACAGTATGTGCTACAATTACAGCTTGAAATGTATTTTCTAGAGTTTATTCAGCACTGGCCTATCCATATGTTGAAAAATCATTTTATTGGAATTTTAAATTCAACAAGTTAAAATTATTATTTAATATGTCCACTTTATTAAAGTAGTTTTATCATTAATAAATACTGTACTTTATTATATGGAAAATATTAAAAATGTCATTTTATATACCAGGTGTACAAAAAAATTTGCAGAATAATTTTTAAATTCTAATTTAAATAATCTTTATTGAACAATTTTATAATTACATTTTATAAGATGATTAAATTCTGAATATATATTATATTATACAACATGAATTGATTAAGATTAATAAATATTATATGAATATATTTTTAATTTCTATTTTGTGATCCAAATAAATATATATAACTAATACCATTGTAAATCTAATTTAATTAAGCTATTTATTATTTTTGTATAATGTAATATATTAATTTTACGAGAGATAGCTGCAGTGAGTCTCGTAGACCATAATAAATTCCTGCCATATAAATAACATACAAACTGGTTTATTGTTGTTACTTTACATACAAAATATTAAGTGTGTTGTGACTACATGTTTATGAATTGCTAGTTTTATGCCAGCTATATTAATTTTATACCAAATATAGTAAATATATTAATATATATATATCAAGTAAATTAATTATTTAAGCATGGACTATTCAATTATCAGAAGTCATTACATAAAAAATTTGAAAGAATATGTAGATGGTATTGATATAAATGATACATTTATGGAGTTGTTGAAAACACACGGTACAATATATGGTTTACACCACCATGCATAACAAAATTAATTTTAATATTTATATGGAACATTAATTCAATTTCAACTTCATGACCGATTATAACTTTATCTATATAACTATCTATTATAACTATGATAATATTGATAGATAATATTGATAGATAATATTGATATACTTAAGTAGACACATTATAAAATACATATAATTTTACTAAAACAATACATATAATTTTACTAAAACAATACATATAATTTTTTTAACATACTAAATTTATTATTATTCACAATGTCATGTTACTTTTTATTTTAATAAATAGGATATTGAAAAAGAAAATCGAAAATATTTAATATTTACCGAGTTCACCAGGGAACGTGATAATTGTACAAGGTTGGCCAAAATACTAGAAGATTCTGGGCAAATTGAGGCAGCTAATAAATTGCGACAATTTAATACACCAAGGAAAATTACAGAATTCTCTAACAATATTGAGCTACCTGTCCAAACTACGAACATTATGAGGTCAGGTCAATCCCGATGGTTCCCTATGGACTCCATTCCCAGGGGAAAGGCGTTAATATTTGTTAGTATCGATAAAGTTATAACCGAGGCCAAAAGATTTGCGTCCGTATTCGGACAGTTGTACTTTGATGTGGAAATACATTTAATCCAATCGTGTGAACAAATATTGACCACGCTCAAATCAGTGGCTAAAGAGGCATTCCCTGGTAATGCGCTTATAGTGATGTATATCGGACACGGATTTAATGAAAAGATTTGTGTACCCAATGGAGATCAACAAAGAATTTGCGATATTGTGGACATATTTTCGGAAAATAATTGCCATGCTACATTTGATCGAAAGCCTAAGATTTTTATTTTTAACTGTTGCCAAACTAGTATGTTTACGTTTTGTATTATATTTTTGTTTTCGATTAATTATTAAATATATTAAATAATAAAATAATTGTACCTTGGTCATTAACAGAGCATATTGCGACTTCAATGTCATTCAAAACGGATCAGAGACTACTTGTGTTTGATATGTCGGCTATAGACACAAACTGGTATAACAAAAACACCCGCACCTACATTTGCTACTCGTGTGTCGAAGGTATATTATGTAACATTTTGTTTCACCATGTTAATTAGTACAAATATTTTGTTTAATTAAATATAAAGATATAACTGAGTGGGCCGATTACGATAGTGGATTCACAGTGTTTGGTCAGATATTTAGCAATTGTATCGCTAGATATGCGTGTGATTGCAACTTGCTACAATTATTTAATAAGGTGAATACCTACATGAATAATACATAATGCATTGTTTATTAATTTTAAGCCCAAAATCCTTTTCTAATTGTAGACATTTGAAGCGTTGGAAGAGTTGGGTCAACGGCCTGAGATACGCCAGTTCATGGTGACCAGGGACCTGTATTTTAACCCGGGTCTACCTGAAAATACTAAAAATTATATTCCTAGTATCAAACATTTCTAAAATATAAAATAATTATTGTGCTAATCTGATTAATAATTTTACTTAAATAAAAATATTATTTTAGTATTAAATGTACTGTACTATTTTAACTTAAATAAAATAAAATACTGTATTTATATAATAAACAATTTAGTTTTAAAATTTATAAATTAAATGCAATTGATAATTAAATTACAATGATAAAAGGATTTGCTATACTAATCAAGGTTATTTGGAAAATATTATTTAAATTATTACAATATTTTAGAGATTAAAAAATATAATTTTGTGCAAACATAATGGTGAAAGTAAAAAAATTACTTTTAAATGTCATTATGCTAACTAATTTATTTATTTATAAAGAATGTTATCTATTTTAAATTGATCAAAACCATGTGATTATAACCTATATATTGTGAGCACCGGGAGGGTGTCCGCCTAAATCCCGGCTCACGGTTACGGTAGATGAATTAGCGTGCTTAGTTGATCTTGGTGATTTTAGTTAAACTTGGTTAATTAAGTAAATAAAACTGTATATTTTTCAAAAAGGCATTTATTAGAGATAAATACAGTAATACATAAAGTGATGTTCACTTGAGAGCACCACTCAATAGACCATGCATTAACAAAACTTTTAAAATCTTAAAAATAGCAATGTATTAAATCTACAATTCTATCAAAAGTACACAACACTAGTAATATAAACTTTTAATACTAAAAGTAGTGACTTTGAAATCACAAGTTATTATTTTATTAATCACACAAAAATCACTTTTAACTATTAATGTGTTAAGATTTATTTATATTAAAAACTAATAATTTCTAATATTTAATTCAAAATATCAATGATTAATCAAAATATTCATGAGTAACATAACCAACATTTGTATTATAGTAAATTATTCATCAAGGATTAAAAATACTAGTGTTCTATTAAATGATAAATAATTACTATTCCTTACAAGGCTAGCTTGGCTCTGGAGTCATAGTATGTTAATGTATGCAATAGACTATGTTTTAAATATAGCAAACATGTGTTTATATAGAGAACATTAGAAAGATTTATGTGACAGTTCATGTACAGTAATAGCTTTTGTGATATAACTACTTTGCATAGACAAAGAGGATCCTGGTTGTCGACAGCAAAAAAAACAACTATAATTAATAGGTCCTACAATATGCGTTGAAAGTAAATTTTAAAATTTGAATATTTTATTAAAAAATAATTAAAATAACAGTTATATAAATTATGAGCATAATAAAAACATTAATTTTAGTTTATGTTACACAAAACTTTGCATTTAAGAGATAATTGTAGTCAAGGGTACATTCCATCACGTAAGCCACAAAGTAGTCATAACATACCAGACCTGTTTGCATACATGTTATTCACTAATAGGGTTATAAATGAAAAGTTTATTTCTAGTTGTAGTAACATAGATCATTTTTAATTTTGTAATAAGGTACACTATAAGGTACCACTTTGGTGAGTATAAATATAATGTATCATATATACTTTAAACATGATCGAAGTTTGAAGAAAATTTTATTACAATTAAAATATTTAAATTTAGTAATGACGTGCATGTATATTAGAATATATAAAAATTATTAGTTTATGTATTTAGTTACTTAAAATTTTAAAACTTTGTCATGTAAGCCATTTTAATCAAAATATTATACATCAACCCTTTAATAGTACCCACCCTTTCATTGTGGTTACTTAAACGTTAAAATGTCTGTTTCTCAATACCATTAATTAATTTTAATTGTATCTTAATTATATTATATTATAAAATATAATTATATATAAAATATTTATGTATAGAGTTGTATTACAAAGGTATTTAATAAATCCCTAATTAGTAATTTACAACAATCATGAATTACACCGTAAATCGAAACAAATACCGAGAGGAGTTGGCAGATTATTTAAAAACCATTGTTATGTCGGATGAATTTTTGAAAAATGTGAAAAAGCATCCAAGCTATAGATTAAGTGATGAGGTTTGTTGTAATTTATCAATAATTTTAATCAATACATTTTTAACAATTTATTTTATATAATCCAAGCATTTTATATTTATATCTATTTACACAATGTAACATTTAAATAATGTTTTAACTTCTTTATTTGTTTGAAATCTTTGTATCCATAGTAAACCAGGATTTACATGTAACTTTAGTGTTAATACCATTCATATTTAGATTTTTTATAATTACTTTTTTATATGTTATATATGAAATACTTAAAATAAATACGGTTCTACCCCAAAAGACCTAAACTAAAATAACTAACTGACCAGTGGTCATATTTTAAAGATAATGTCCATAGTTTACTAAATGTCAATATAATTTAATCAAATTAACAAAATAAAACAAGCTTATTAAATCATATTTAAATATACAAAAATTATTTTTGCAACTTCAATAGTTAAAAAGTTATTTACGTTTAAAAATGCAACAATTTCTTACAGTTTATCGTATATTTGCAGACTAACTTTCAGCTATTTTTTCAACTTTGTACTAACCCACTAAATCAATTCCCCGTCGAAAAATAAAATGTCAATTTTCAGAATTCATCAATTACGTCATGCCATAACTTCGTTATTTATTGTCAGAAAAATT